CTCTCTCTCTCTCTCTCTCTCTCTCTCTCTCTCTCCCTCTCCCTCTCCCTCTCCCCTTACCTTTAAGTAACTTGTGCATTGTTTTACTTGTTTTTGACGTATCCGACCGAACTACAAACTTTCCAGTGATGTCTGTGAGAAAGGGATATTCATTCGACAAGCCGCGCATCTGCGCCGCAAAAATGCTTTTCGTGTCTTGAAATAATAATTTCTAAACATTAAACATTGACTTTCAGTCTTTATTCACCTTTTTCTCATTGTTTCTCATTAAAATTAATTAAAGTAAATAGTGTAAATGACATCGCTGAGGGATGGAGAATGACTTAGAATCTTTTAAATTAATAAATTGTTCAAATATCAAAATATCTAACTCTAAATTAAAATGCTAAATAAGCATAATTAAAAAAAAAAAGAATATAGTAGTAATGTATAGTAGTAATATATAGTAGTTTTTATTTAAGAACATGCATGTTCTTGAAACTGGGATCACAAAATTAATTGTGGTTATTGTGTGTATGTAAATGTAAAATATGAACACTTTCAGTTTCTGTTAATAAAAACGTTAACAAGCTAGAAAACAAGCAACTTTGTCATAATTACAGCAGAAAGGCAGAAGATCTTACAATGTGGATCGTTTGATTATTGTATTGGACAATGCACGGCCTTTGAGTTAAAAAGAATTTTAAGAACCACTGCTTTTGACCCAACTTTATAAATGTGTTTGTTTCATTTTTTTGTCCTGCCTGTTTACATTAATGTAAGACATAACCGACTTTATTTAGATCAGTACCTTGTCATTACAGACAGCTTGACTGAATTTTGAAATGTATTTGCCTATTTATGCACATTAGTCACATCACTAACAGACATATGTTAGTTACTTTATTGTATACTATATGTTGTCACGGTGTTATTTCCCTGCGGGGATAGATTCCAAGGTACTAGCACAATGAGGTCAATTTTAAATCACTAGAATATCCAAAAACGGCTTTACAGCGTAGCTATTTAGATTAAGTAGTTGTTGTGAAAGCAAACATTACTATATTATGGGTAGTTTTAATTCAATACTGCCCACTTCTACTTCATATTACTGAGTTTAGTGTGTCAGGTTAATTGCAGTGTATTCAGATTTCCCACAGCCAAAATAAAATCTCAGTTTAAGGAGTGAAATGTGGACTTTAGCAGAGGGAATGGGCTAGTGGCCCGGTAGGCTTTAACAGATGGACAGAAACAGGACCTGTAGGTATAGCAGGGGGATGGAGAGCGGACCTGTGGTGGCTGTAGAAGCAGAGACAGGACCGTGCGGAAGGGGACAAGATCTGTGGCGGAGGACGTGAGATTCAGCAAGGTAGTCCGCAGAAGTGTGCGCCCATCTCTCCGGATGCTTTTGTACATTCTGTGCTTGAGCGTGTATGAGAATTTGCTCAGAGTCACATGATGATATGTTCCCTGTCAGTGAGTTATGTGTGTGCCAGAGCTTTCTTTGTGTGTGTAAAGACAACACAGTCAATGATATTTTCACCACCACTGAGCTGTGTGCATGTTTATCTCCCATTCTCTGTGTATCATGTCAAACATTTACATCTCATTGAATTTCAAATATCAGCAGGAATGGTAATAGGGCATAGTAATGAGACTGGGCTCCTACTGTTATGCTAATTTAGAAAGACTCCACTTCAGTGCGCCCTTCCCCTCCCCAACTTTAGAATGCTACACTGGGCCTTTCTTGCCGCTCTCTCAGATGTGGCATTAACATTTTCATTCAGAAGTGATTTTGCTTCATTCTAATGTTTTATCTTCATCAGTGTCGTTTTTGGCATTGAACAGGTTCTGGTTGTGCCGACCTACGACACGCACCGCAGCAGGTGTTTCAGTGGATGAAGTACAAGAGATCAGTTTAGCCCTGATGTTCAAGTCCTGCTTGAATTTACATTGAATGGAGTAAATATTAGATTTTTCTTCACAGGTGGATGAATACCCGACTGTGTATAGGGAAGAGCAGACTGACCGACAAGAAGTGCCTGAGGAGGAGGAAACTGAGGAGCAGGACCGCTCTCAGGTCAAAGAATTAGAGGAGGTAAAGAATGGCTGCTTCAGATAATGTTTAGTGCTGTGTTCGATACATCGATACTAGGGCTGGGTATCGATTCAGATGTCCCGATTCGATTTCGATTCGCAAGCTCTCGATTCGATTCTCGATTTTTTTTGATTACATTCAGTGAATATAGTTTTAATACAAATGCTATTGATATTTCTAAAAAATTAACAGTAAACATCAGTTTACAAATGGTGAATTAATAAAAAGAAATTAAGAACCACATTGCCTGTATTTTAAACACATTCTTTGATTTTTTTTGTATAGGGTCCTTTTTTAAACAATAATAGGGCCCTTTAAAATGTTCTTATTTTTTCTGATAATCAAATGAAGGCATAAAACATTAATAAAATTTTTACTAATCAAATGAAAATTAAACCCTTTTATTTTTTGGCAAACAAAGTGCTGCACAACAGATGTTTACTGTTAAAATGAAAAAGAAAACCGATGTGATTATTCCTTAAAAATAAAGATTTATCAATATTTATTAGCAGTAGTAGCATAGAGTCTTAAGACTGCTAAATAGTAATATATTCTGACAGTTTCTTTACGTTAAATTAAACTTTTATTTTGACGGGTTGCCGTGAAGAACTTGCAGCTGCTGTGTATGTGATATGATGGTAGTTTTCTCAAATGAAACGGTAAAATGCTAATGAAGTGACTCTCAGAGCAGCTGGAGATGACATTCGTGTTCATATCATCATATAGTGAGACTGCAGAAGCTGAAAACACCGCGAGCGTCATCCGCGCTTTAGTATGTGTGTAGCAGAGGTGTAAAGTATTGGAGTAAATGTAATTAGTTACTGCACTTGAGTATCTTTTCGGGTACTTCGTAGTTGTACTGAGTATCAAAGATATTAGCAACTTTTACTCTTTACTTCACTACATTTTTGAATGAGTATCTGTACTCTTTACTCCACTACATTTGAAATGAGTGTTGCAGTTACACATTACATTTTGCATGGACCTAGCTTTTTCTGCAGCAGTTTATTTCTGCTACAAAAGACGTGATACTGCCTGCTACAGGTTTTGCCCTTACTCACCCAAACTTGTCAACAAGGCTACTTTATGTAAATGCGAGTTCCTTAACAAGTATTTGTGAATCAGAGGTGTTTTATATATGAGATGGGGAAATGACTGCAGCCGGCAATGAGGCCCAAACCAGCGCTTCGGCTTTTTAATT